AAAAGTAATGAGCACAGTACTTACCGGTCTGTGTACAGAGCAATGTCGCTTGATCTCTCATACAGTGCAAGCAGGACCATCAGTTCTCTCTGGGGTTTGCTGTGCAAACTCCAGCTCTCCATGCAAAAGGAAATGAGTGCAGATGGCCACCTCTTCCAAATGGCTTGTTAACTCCATCCTGATCATTTGATTGCAGTGTCCACTGCTGCTGCCCATAGTACGTCCATCACGACCACTGCCAGCGAGACAACAGGTAGGATTTACCGTTTTCTGTCAAATCCTATTGCAGACAGTCACTGCTATCTGGGAATTTATAAGCAAGCATGCAGTACTCTGTATATGACAACATGTAAAGGGAAGTACAGAAGAAGCACAGTATCTGTGCAGAGTAATATCTTCTGATCTCACATGCCATGAGTACAGTACCATCAGCCTTCTGCAGGGTTTGCTGTGCAAGCTCAAGTTCTCCATGTGAAAGGAAACATGTGCACATGGTCTCTGACTCCAGAACCTTAGTCCGCTTGTCTGTGCCATTCTTATCAGATCTTTCTTCACAGTGTTGAATGCTACTGCCGTTCCTGATGCATCTACCTCAGTCACTCCAATCAATGCAACTGGTAGGGTTTGTTTTTCTCTTTTCCGACAAAGAGACAACTGTCTTTTAAAACAGAGAGAAGCTTTCTCTGTTTTGTCGAGTGCAATCGTGATAAAACCTAACGACTGCAGTCTGAGGCAACGGGGAAAGGTGGCACTGAAACGCTGTCTGTTTGTCACCTCTGTGCCTCTGATGCCCAGTCCAGTCACAGCTGTCATCTGCCTTCTGTGCCTAACACATCTGAGACTGGTAAATTAAACAATAAATGAATGACAATCCACGTATGCTTGTGCCCTCACATGCTGATGTGTGCTTCCTTCACAGCATCTAATTATTCAAGCTTATCATCAACTACAGCCTTTCCACAAAACGGTAAGCATCCCACTTCCTGTCCAATTTTGCTCTGTTTCTTATGCTGCAACAGTCTTACTCAAGTCTCCCCTAATGGATGTGTTAATGTCAAATGAGTGAACCTCGCAAGAGAAACACAGAAGATAACGACGGACATTATTGCTGAAAAATGGAACAGAGCTGTTTCTCTCGTTTCAGTATCTAACTCCACCATTTCAAACACTGAAACTGCTGAAAATCTGTCTGCTTCAGCCATGCCTTCTAACACAACAGGTAAATAGCACAGGTGTGCGAAGAAGAAGGCGGAGGAGGAGCTCATTATGTGCTCATTGATTTCAGTGACCATGTCAGATTGCCCAGTGAAATCAAATCAGGCTGATTCAGTGCACTGTGCACTTTTCCACTGATCACTGCATTCAGATGTTTCACATTCGTTATTAGCAAGTGTCCCTGAGTGATGGAAGTGATACACATAGAAATGTGTCAATTGTATAATCAAATTCATTTGAAGTATGCACATGTTGAGTAAAATAGCTAAATTATTTTAGATATTGAAAAACTTCCTTCTTTCTGCCACTATTGGCACTATTGGATGTTGCTATATGTAAAGTGTATGAATCACTGTCTGATTTACTTTCCCATACTCAGTGTAAATGACAAGATGTATACATGACAGGGAACACGATAAAAACCTTTAGGGTTGTCAAAACTACTAATCAGATGTCAATATTAGAAATGGCTCATGATCTTTTGATCTGTGTTCTTCATTGAAGAGTCCAGTGCTGTTACAGTTGCAACAAATGTGTCCACAGTTGGCAATGGGCAGAACATCACAGGTGAGGACTACAGTTTGCCAAAGAAGGGTGCCTTACTTGTGTTTCATACAAACAAACAAAAAAGACCCCCTGGTAAAAAAAGAAGATTATCGATTAACTTGTGTAACTGTAATTTTCCTTTTTAACAAGATTTAAAAATGACCTCAATAATAAATAAGAAGCAATTTGATTTTTATAGTAAAAGGTGAGATCAGAATCGCAGTTTGCATCTGTAAAATGTTTCAGTGCATTTTAATCTGTTGTTCTTCTCCTCCGTTGTTAGTGCATAACTCCACCGCTGGGTTTCTGAATGTCTCCACGCCAGTCACTCCTACAGTCACTGCTACAACAGGTACGCACAAACCTACAGCCCAGGCTTGGAAAAAACTCAAGGGGAAACCATTCTTTGTGTCTTTTTGGTTTATATTTACAAGAGAACATTGACTTTTTTAAAACCATAGTTAATTCTTTTGATATTGTCTTTTGGATAGCGTTACAAATTAACAACAAATTAATTTTGTCCCCACGTGTTTGTGATCTTTCCTGGGGTGTGTATAATAGAGGTAACTGGGGTGTTGACACTGGGGTGTATGGTGCTGATACAGCATACTGGGGTGTGTCACTTTGGTGTATTGTACTAATATTGGGGTGTAGATACTGGCTGATACACTGGGGTATGGTACTGATATACAGTACTGGTGTGTGTACACTGGGGTGTATGGTGCTGATATACTGGGGTGTATGGTGCTGATATAGTGGAGTGTAGACACTGG